TCCTGGTTTCATACTGGAGTGTTCATTCCTTCTAACGGAGGGATATCTGGTGATTGAAACTCTGTACATCTTTGCTCGATAACAGGAAACATGATGCACGTTATCAATAAATAGAATATGCATTATACATCGTACTTGCTCCAAAATTTCCATGATTTCGGAAATTAAATCCAAAAAGAGTAATTAATTGTCTCTGTTGTGTATAAAATATCAGTCATCATTATTATTATTAGTTTCTAGAGTAAGTAATTTTAGGGCTAATATAATCTATACTAGTTATTATAAAAATCAGACGCTCTTTCATAATGTTGACAGAATCAGGTTCACCGGTGATTCAGTGGTAAGTGTAGACAACGCTAAGATCCAGAATCGATCCCTGGAGGTGGGCATAGAGTAAGTAGCCCATTGTGTAGCTTTGCGCTAAAACAACTGCTAAGAATGAGGTCAGAGCTGTGACGCCACCATGTGACACAAGCGTAAATTATGTATTTTGCCCAAGATTTCCCTTTTGCACGTATTCAAAGCTTTCTAGAAATCCCAGTGATCTACAGGTTATTAAGAATAATACAACAGTTTAAATATTAAAATCTTTAAAGAACTTCATTAATTTAATACATATTTCTATTATTATTATTAATCCTTATAAACTAAAGTTTCAATAATTCAGCGAATTTATTTCATAGATTAAAAAAAAAGTATTTCGGAGTAAATTTACATTTACGTTTTTAACAAAGTTTGAAGCCTGGCATAGCCAGGTGGTTAGGGCACTCAATTCTCAATCAGCGGGACGCGGGTTTGAATCCTCGTCCCAGCAAACATGCTCGTCCTTTCAGTCATGGGGGCGTTATAATCTGACGGTCAATCCTACTATTCGTTGGTAAAAACGTAGCCCAATAGTTAGTGGTGGGTGGTGATGACTAACTGCCTTCCCTCTAGTATTTCACTGCTAAATTAGGGAAGGCTAGCACAGATAGCCCTCATGTAGCTTTTCGCGAAATTTAAAACAAACAAACAAAATTTGAAAGAAATCCGGTAAGAAAAGTTCGTGAGTTAGAAAGTCATTCTCAATAGACACCTATGCTTATAAGGTTTTCATAAACTATAAAAAATACTTATCTGAAGACCTTTTGCTATAATTCTGGCGTAAACTTCTTCAGTTAGAATATGTTTTTTCTTCTTTCAATTCAACAAACAATTTTTTGTCATTATTAAAAGTGAGTAAATTAATCCCTTTCGCACTTCGAAAGCCACATAAGATTGGTGTTTAACCCCTGCAGTGTCCGTTTTTTTTGTAAATGATCTCAAAAAGAACTTTTTTTTTTGCTTTTTAATAGCACATCGTAATACATGATAAGTTCGGGCAAGTAATTAAAAATACGTCGAGAAATGGTTTGCCCGAATTAACTCGGGTAATTATTTTTCAAACATGGAGTTATCTAGGGGGAAATCACGGAAGGTATTAACTTTGGTATCCGTGGTATAAGTGAATGAGGATAGTGACACATTCTTTCTGGCAAGGATGCAAGTCCATCGCAGTTATCCCCCAACTTGTTCCTATTATACAGCTAGATAAACTGAAACTATTGCCTAAAGATGTTTTAAAATGAACTTAATATTTGTAATTTTGTGAGGCAATCCGATTAATGTTTGGTTTGGGGCCAAATCTAACTAGTCAAAATTTATGATGTCAAGTAACCTCAACAAATATATATATATATTCATGTGTGTGTGTGTGTGTGTATTCAGTAAACTTGTAAAATGTGTATCTGAGAGAATGGATAAAGTTATGAAACTGAAGGATAGACTACAACTTACAATTTAATTTTTTTCATATAATCTATAACAAAAGGACAACATTTTAAATTGGTTTATCCTAGACTATGACCAGTCTAAGAGTACACGAAGTAAACTGAGGTACATACGATAATAAAGTTAATAATCATTGCCTAAGAGACACCCAACTCATCAACAGCCGTAAATAATCATTGTCTAAGTGACACCCAACTCATCAACAGCCGTAAATAATCATTGTCTAAGAGACACCCAACCCATCAACAGTCGTAAATAATCATTGTCTAAGAGACACCCAACCCATCAACAGCCGTAAATAATCATTGTTTCAGAGACACCCAACCTATCAACAGCCGTAAATAATCATTGTCTAAGAGACACCCAACCCATCAACAGTCGTAAATAATCATTGCTTCAGAGACACCAACCCATCAACAGCCGTAAATAATCATTGCTTCAGAGACACCCATCCCATCAACAGCCGTAAATAATCATTGGGGTGTCTCTGAAGCAATGATTATTTACGACTGTTGATGGGTTGTGTGACTCTTAGAAACCCATCAACAGCCGCTTATCTAGTGACACATAAAGAATATTTCTTTGAAATTTAGCTATTCAATATTTTGTCACAATATAGACTTTGCTGTGAAATTCAATATAACAAAAAGCTGGGTAATCCATACGAAAATGTATTATTCTTAAACGAAATTAAAAGAAATCTCATTTAATGAACAACTATAAAAAGTTTAGTCCTAGTGAACGTGAAATTTGTTTCAGTTTACAGATTTTGTAGCCTTTCTACAAAAGTTTTTAAAATAATTTTAATATAGTATAAAAAATATAATGTTTACTGAATTATATATTCGTTTTATCTTAGTCTTTTTTTATGTCTTTTTACGTGTAGATTTATAACAATTTTGTTTTTGTTAATTTAAAACTAAAGCGCACGAATGAAGTGACTGAATATAATACTTAAATGTACAGGACATAGTTCTATATCGTATATCAAATGTTGGATTCAAGTCTCATTTCATAAACTATGCTGCTTAATGTTTGGCCAACTATGCTGTTAAACTTAGGTCAGTAACTTTGTAATATGCGAATATTATGTCTCCATCCATTTCATAAGGTAGACATTTAATAAAGCTATTCAGGTACGTTTAGATAATTATCAAACGTTTTAGTACAGGTTACATGTATCTAATTACGAACTACTCTCAATTCCGCACTTGTATTAAGGACTAATGTAGGTGTGTCTGTCTGTATATGTCGCCCCCAGTGGTACAGCGGTATGTCTGTGGACTTACAACGCTAACGCTAGAAACCTGGTTTTGATACTCGTTGTGGGAAGAACACAGATAGCCCATTGTGTAGATTTGTGCTTAACTTCAAACATACAAACTGTATATGTAGGCTATACACTAGATGAGTCTTTAGTTTCTTTTTTACGACGTTTGGAGTGTTTACGTACATTGAGATGAAGGCATTGGAAACCCTGATTTTCTCTTTTTTGTAGATAATGAGACTGGTCTTCTGACGTGGATGACATAGTATTTTGGGAAATTCCGAGAAGACTTTTGAACTTCAACATAATCATGAGCAAAGCTAGTTCTTGGTCAGAATCGCCACTGTCTTTGTGAAAATCAGAATTCTTTTTGATCTGAAACCATCCGGTGCTCATTGTCTAGATACTTGTATTACTATAGAAGGAGAGAAGCCGACCAAAAGATCATGACGCAGCAGAAATTCAATGTCCTACAGTTACTTTCATGTGTCATCTTCGTTTGTCAATAAAGCGTTTCTCATTCACCACTTTAACAGTTGCGTTGGAATACGCTCAGATAATTGTAGAATTTTTAAAACTATTTGGAAAGCGTAGTTGTATATGTTTTTGACTTATGCTGATAAAAGTCAATTTCATTTGAGTTTTTTAATAAGGTTGTAATAAGTTTTGGTTTCGAACCGAATGGTAGTTTTGTGCAGATAAAATATTGAACACACAAATATACATGGATATTTTTATAGACGTTCGGACATGTAGAGATAAGTTAGGTATAACAGTTCCACGTTCAAAGGTTAAACACTTATGTTCTGATTTAAAGTTGATTTAATAAAAAATAGCGAGAGTTTTAAAAATTCCATGATTCTTCTTTCAGTTGTCATGGTTTATATGATCTCCTACAACTGATCAGTGATTCTGGTTTCTCGAATATACCTGTGCTGTTTTTTTTTAATGTAAAAACAACGTAATATCCACGCGTTCATTTAGTAACCAAAGTAAAGTTGCTGTCATTCTCTCACAAGTATAAAGTTACAAATACATGGTTTATATAAAACCATGAAAACCGGTAATCAATGAGCACAAAACACTGATGCATACTAAATACATATAAACACAGGATTTGGGCAACTTGACTGAAGTTCGAAATAAAAGTCTCAACTCATTCACTTTCTAAAACAACTAAAAATACTTTAGAATATTGAAGTTGTCGGGTAAGTATTACTACAAAAGTATTCTAAAGAATTATAAAGAAGGACACTATGTGAAAATGTTCAGTTTAATACTACCTCTGATGTAGCTGTAAACAATATTGAGATGAGTTATTTTATCTGATTTGAACAACCGTAATAATTAAAGGTATGTGACACTGTGTGTCTTGCACGCATTTAATTATACCGCTACACGTGGTTTGCTTGACACTCGAAAAATGCGTTACATACAAGTCTCGTCTTAACATAAGAGTACAATAATTCCAATTATAATGGAACGAGTTTTTTTTTTTTGGGTGGGGGGTGGAAACCTTGTTATTTTCCATAACTGTTTTCTTTTTATATATTACATCTTTATAGTTTATTAAAATGTAGTTATTAACATTATACAGGGAATTCGTTGAAATATGTATTTCGTTTTCTTTAAATTCATCTTTCCAGGTCATTAAACGATGACAAACCAACTAAATCTAATGGGTGTTGGGAGGCTTTGATTTTGATTTTTTAAAAGTAGCAGTTCGTGTTTGTTATTCGCTTTAACAAGTTGATTGCATTAGCCACCAGAGTGACTTCCTCAGCCAATAGCTAGCCTTGAAATACACAAACGTCTTTATTTAGACTACTTAAACGTATTCGTCCTTCACAAATAACCGTAGGAAAAAAACAAAAACGATTTTATCTCATCACTGTGATGTAGGGGCCTTGTGAATAAGGTTAGAAGTACATAGATAAATAAATATCTTCTGTTGTTTTTATTGGTATTACAGTTAAGTTTAATAATGCATTTGTTCACCTTCAAACGCGTGTTACGAAATCAGCAACACTGGTTGAGTGGAGTGTTCGCCAGCGGGAAAGAATGATCGAGAGCCCCAGTGAATAGGTATTCCTAGCTCTGCAGGCATTTATGTTAGTGGTGTACGAGATCAGGAGAAGAGTGATCGACTTGTTTGCATGTATGGCAAAAAATTTTAGAAGCGGATCAAAGCGTCCGTTTTATGTGATGAGAAGATATATTGTAACTGATTCATATACGTTATATTATTCAAAATGGGCTGTTTTACTGGGTAAGTGACGTTGTTGATTTTCGTTTTAATTCTTTGTTCGTATTAGAGATGTTTCAAAACGCCCCCTAGTGCCGAGTAGTATAATAATTTCTAGTAGAAGCTGCTTTTTATGGTTACTACATTGGTACTGTTTCACCGAGAGTGGTTTGTTAATTACCCCTTCACGAACTGTTAGTTGTTTTTATTTCTTCGAAATATTTATTTTCTGTCTACGATATTACTCCTGCAAGTTTTTAAAAGTCTGAATCTTAACCAGTAGTTCAATAAAAATGGAACAGGTGATAGAAGAAGATCGTCTTAGATTAGCCTGAGTAGACGAATACTATAAGATGAAATTGGAAAAATATAAAGTGTATGAAAAGCATGCTTTAGGGTGTAAATCATGTCTGAAATATACTGATAATGCCACAGAATTTGTAACATTTCAGCTGTGGAACCTGAAAAATGCACATCTGCTCGGAATTATATAGCAGTAAACATATAGAAAAGCACTCGTATTAACAGGTTATTATTATTATTAACTTGTATTTATTCAACATATTTTTCAGATATCATGAATACATTTTTTTACAAAGATAATCGTTAAAATGACAGAAAAATTAATTTTGCTCTATGCTGTAAACGTACTGTAAGTAAAAAAGTAGTCAACTACTTAAATAATAAATATGTTTACTGGGAGTGGTTCACAAACGTAGCACATCAGACTTGCGGGCTAACCAACAGTGTCTTGTGGTAAAACAAACATATAGGGGTTTTATAACACTAAATATACTATAAACAAAAGCTGTGTATTGCTAAGTAATTTGTAAGGACACTTTGAAATTAAAGTGTTTAAGTTTTATTACAAGTTTTTTGTTTGTTTTTTGAGACTATCCAAAATATTGTTTTTCAATTTTATTAACTGCAAAAGGAAGTATGAAGTTAAAATTTTTAGTTAAAATATAGAATGAGAAAACAAATAAGTAATGAATTAACTGTAAAAGGTTATGGATAAGTATTGCTATTGAAACCAACATCAACAAACTGGCCATGCCTCAACATACATAGAAAAGGTTAGTCCATCAATTTTTCTTTGTAATATTCTTACCAAGAATCGTTAATAAATAATTAATTGTTATTCTATTTATTACAGTCGTCCTAACTTTCATATGTGGATTAAAAGCAGAAGAGGAATGTTTATGTAAGTACTATACTTATGTGCTGATAGAAATGACAACTGTATTAGATATTCGTGATACAAAATGCTAGTTGTGGTTTTAGTTTTGGTTTTCTTCCACCTACAATCCTGGGACGTGAATTATTTCACCTAACGTCGTGGAAATATAAAATAGCATTCTTGTACATCCAGCAGAGAGTCTGATAACACGGAATTCACAAATACTTCTAGTACTACAAAACTTGAGCCCGGAACTACTTGTAGATAATTATGTTTACAATGCAGTTATTATCATAAGATCACGATGTCGCTCTTGCTCTGGGTGCAAACATTAAGGGTTAGACACGTTATTCAGTGGTCATAAATGTGTGTCAATAACGTTATTGCTTCCAGAAATACGAAATGTGATACTTATACAACGCTGAAATAATTTTTCTTTTTATTTGTATGTTCACTGCATTAACTGCAACCATCTTTAGAATTGATTTGTAGATCGATCGTAAAACAAGTGTTTATTGAAATGTGTTTGTAATCAAAACACTCCTACACACTGTCGATAATGGTCTCATGTATGAATAATTTTTAAGTTAAAAAATATTCTACGTCATAAAGAATTCATTGAGGTTCAATGAATAAAGTTGTCTATATTGCTAGCAGTTAATGTCTAAACAACAACATGGCTTCACATTACAGTTGGACGTGTTGTGATGAACGTAGAAAGGTTTTATTTGTCGTGTTCCGAGAATAAAAATTTGTAGATCGAGTTGTTTCGAGAAATGTTTAAGAATTACGTACTACGTGAACTGTATTTAAAATATAAATGGTTTCATATCGAAACATTACTTCAAAAAACTGTACAGTGTTTTAGAAATAATGATAAGTAAGTATTCCTGTCCTCCATAACACGAAGATTGATATTTATCTGTTACAAAACTGAAATATAAATAATTTTATATTCGATCAGTGCTTAAAGTTTGGGCATCATAATGAAGTAACGTACCCAGAATAAGATAAAGTTTCTTTGGGCACTTATTGCTCGTGATAAGTCACGAACCAAAATGAAGCAATCTGCGTGACTGTGCTTTGAAACCATTCCAACTAAGACCAATACGATTATGGAAAGTTGAGTGTACAGTTTTGATGTTCTTTAGTTGTCATATGATATATATATATAATTTACCATATAATGAAAACTGCAGTAAAGAAAATAAATAATATTGTAAATCTGCAAACTTTTTTTTCAGGGTGACTAATGTAACATGTATATGGGCTGGCTTTACATTTCACAGATGATCAAACAAAAACTGAACGGCTACATATAAGGAAGGGAGGGATAAAGCAAGCTTAACTGAGGACGAGAGTTATATTTGTTTTGTTGAATTTCGCGCAAAGCTACTCCAAGGCAATCTTGCTTAGCCGTCCTTAATCTGAAG